TAAATCTGCTTCTGAGTATTTGAAAACCTATGATGACTAATTAGACTGCAACTAACTACTAAGTTTAAAATGTTGACAGTGGAGACTGATAATGTCCAGCCATAACCGGTGCAGAATAAACTTCTTTTCGACTGCTTTACAAACAACACTCCATGTACCATTTTATTTCTTTTAGTTAGTTGCAATCAGCAAATTACAAGATTATCAGTGTCATTTGTACTCCAAAATGCCAATAATCAGTAGTAGTTACAGGTACTTTTACAGACTTTTTTCATTGATGCCAGGTAAGATTTTTGTTCTTTGCAGTTTGTGGTTGTGTCTATGCATGACGCTGAAAGTACGAAAGATCAGTTTAAAGCAATTTTCTGATAAGTTACGAAGTTTTACACAATTTGTCAAGCGCATCTGTATTTTGTATTATTCTTTTCTGAGGGTGTTGAAAGTGTGGGAGGTTTCAAAATGTAAAACATGCACACATTTAAACACATAAAAAAGAAATCACAATTAACAATGAGTCGCAGTTGGTAAACTTTCCATAATATCATTCAGCAAGCTCAATGAGTCTTAACTTTCTTCAGATGCACCACTATCTGCTAACTGAAACAAAGGTCACAATTAAACGCTGAAAAAGTTAAAAAGTGTCAAAAAATTTACATAAAGTTCTAATGCTGTCAAACTTTTTTTTTGCAAACTACGAAAAAAACATCTACATTTTTTAGATCAAGCCAAATTACTTCTAATATGCTAGATGTTACTTAAAAACTAACTGTTAACGAGTCAACGGTCATAGAAGCAGCTGAATTTTGCACAATTTGAATGGCATTTTGTGCCGCAAAGCGTTTTTTCAACTTTTCATTTTCTTTACAAAGACGGTAAATTTTTAATTTCTGTTGCTCAATTATTTCCTAAAATAAAAGACTTCCTGAGTATTCAAGTAAAAGTAGAAAAAAAAATAAGTTGTTATTTTTACAAAGGCATATCTAAAACTAGAAAAATGCTAAAAAACATAACTGATTCAATTACCGTAGCTCAAACGCTCAAGTACAAAAAAAAAACTAATCAGTTCATGTCCAAATCAATCATAAACTTAAGAGTACTTAAAGAAATTGAACTTGTCAAACAAGCTCAGAAGCAGTCAAAAATTTAAAAAAAAATTTTTTTTTCTCAGGGAAATTCCTTATTACTAACTTATAGCCAGTGTTTTCCATATCAGCATAAATTGTAACTCCTCTAGGGTCTTCATGATTCATAAAGGCTAGCACAGCTCTCGTGGCAAGCGTAGTTCGGTCTACGTCCATATAAGTTTATAACGTGATGCAGTTTCGATCATCTACTTCCAATTTCGTCACAACCATCTTCACTCTACTCTTGAAGAGCCTGATACTGGTACTTTCTGTTTCTATTCTCATTTCTTGTCTAGCTTGCCAGAAATTATATCGCGTTCAAAAAAAAACTTCTTATTGTTTTGACACTGGACTTCGTGAGGAATAAAAAATTTCAGGTGTGCTGACACTTTGTTCCCTTTCCAGCTTCTCCTTACTTAGACGAACTGAGGATTTGCACGACTTGACCAGAGAACGAACTTCACCTTTTCCATAGCGTGAATAGCCGACGTATTTAAGAGGCGTTAATATGTCTTCCAACCTCGCTCGTCATACTGTTTGGATTGCTGTAAGCGTAACGGAATGTTTCCATGAGTTGCCGTAAGTTCTGAGTCTCATACAAATCTTGGCTGAACACGGTGAGGTCCAAATTCATGTACGATTGGTTCTGTATCCCAAAACCGTTTTGGAAGGTAGTCTCTCATAGCATAATTTTGAAATATTACTTAAAATTCCAATCTTTTCGTCTTGAGTTCTACTAACTCTCTTTCCACCACCGCTCTTAATTCTGGAATTTTTTTTTAGTTTTATACAATCTTTGCATATCCTCTCTTCGCCTTTGAGTTCTCCTCCGGTGATTCAGACAGTGTCAAGATTGGCTTCAACGTAGCTAACCACCGCTAGTATTTGAAATAGCTCACCTCGTTTTATGATCTTATATTTCTTGGTTTGCATTACAGGTTTCAAAGCTTCTTGATAAAGGTATGAGTTGATGGTCGCTGAACCGAATATTGACACTTCCCTCAGAGTGTCATGGAACTTTCTGATCTGATACGATTTTACTCTTATTTTGTCGAATGAGTTCAACAGTTCCTGTACACGAACTTGCATGATTTGCGAAGCTGACTGCCATCCTTTGTCATTTTCCGGGTCACCCATGTCGAGCACAATCACTGCACATGTTCTCACAAAGACATTCACTTTCTCTATTAATTTGCAGCAATACCGTGCGCAGCAGATGACACAACCACAGAAACAAGTGAATCAACTGAGACAGCGACTATTGAAGCAAACACTGCTTCATCTGGAAGCTCCGATTTAAAACAGGGGCTAGTGGAGAATCCTCAGCTGCTCAGCCTAACGCGTTCAGAGACGCAACAGAGGAAAGCACGCAGAGGAACACGGAGGCAAGTGCTGAAAATACCCAGGTAGGAGAAACAGCGCAAAGTACACAAGGACAGACAGAAAAACAGACAGAGCAAAGTGCTTCAGAAATTGCGGCAACAACAGCGCCA